GAACGCTTTTTGCGTTCATCCTGTGGCTGCTCGTCAAGGAGCATGCCACAAAGCTTGCATCTAAGTCGGCTAGTTTTGCGACTAGAACCGGTGCGTCCTGTGACGCGTGAAGGCACGTAGTCTGGTCTATGACCGGCTTTTCTTTCTTCCTGTACCCTCTTCTGGTGTTCTTTTTTTCGGGTTCCTGGTTTTATCTGGTCTAACCCACCAAAAATTGGTTAAACCAAATATATTCTAGGCCTTAAGTTGTCCTTATAAAAGTCTAACCAAATACTTGGGGTTGCAGGATTGGAGTGAGGCTTTCAGCACATTATTGGCTTATCTGCTTGCAGTTGGCTAACCTGTCACAATTTACGGCATCTTTGCTAGATCAGGTGGGACATATCATGAAAACAGTGATGGTAGCACGAACGAGTCGAATAATTCCAGAATACGAAGAAGTTCTGCATTGAAGCATCCCCTCGACTCCCCATGTGACGATGGTCGTTGCAAACTTCATCCGCTATGCCAGGGACTCAGGCGAATTGGAGTTTGCAGGCAATTCTTTGTGGACGTGCTTGGGCTTGTGTGTAATGCAGGCTGGCTCTAGTGACAAATTTTGAGATATTCTGTAGGGTATTTATACCCAACATAGAGGTCTAGAGACTGCTTTGGAGATATTCTGTATATAGGGTATATATACCCAAACTTAGAGGGCTTACCTATATAGGACTTAAGGGTTCTATACAATTTGGATTGGTCTCGTAGAATGGGAAAACCTTATATAGTGAGTTAAAGTCAGCCGAGCCGGCTTTGATTTTCCAAGCGATGGCACAGCTTCTTCTGAGCGATGCTCATGGTTGCCTGAGAGATTGTGTGGATGAAGCCGTGAAGGCAGGGAGTGAAGAGCATTGAACAACCTAAGACTCCAGACATCTTTTTCTCCCGTCCCAGGCAATTGCCGCTTGCAAGGGCCTATGCCAACGAGTCATGGATTCGAAGCGCTTTCTGTTGCCACGACGACCCGCCGATTAATTCTGAACACATCTCTATGAACAGGGTGCTTCAGCTGATTGTGGTTTCATCGATGTTCGCTGTTTCATATGGTCGCTGTATTATGAGTTGGGGTTTGGCTGATGCCTTATGCAAACCCCGATCGTGCCACCGACCATCAACTCACTCAGGATCTGCTCCGGCCGCTGGCGAAGGCCTATGGTCGTTTCAAGGACATCGCGACCGTTCCGGTTTTGAAGATTGTCTTTCAGGAACTGAAAGGCAAGCTGGTGGTGCCTCATCCAAACAAGCATGCTTGAATGCCTGCTTTGAATGTGTTGCCTATAACTCCACACGGTAGATGGACGACCTAGGCGAACATCCCGAGCAAGGTCCAGAGTAACACAGCGGGTGTGGTGAAGAAATTGTTAATCCATGTTCGTCGATTGGCCGAGCGATCAGAGAGACAGCGGGACTCAAATGTTTATGCTGTTGTGTCAGCAGTTTCATCTATACACTTATGTGCTTGTTTGCTCTCTGGCCACGTCTATTGCATGTGTGAGTTTTGCAGATAAGGCCATACATATATACTGCATACCAAGGCTTTCAGAAAGTCTGTGACGAAGGATGTGGATGTTGCAGATGCAGGTCTCCTTCGGAGGCCGAGCTTCAAGATTCGCTACATTCCCGTGGGCCGGAAGGACAAGAAGGACAGGATTACATTCAAGAATGCGAGGGGTCCTGGTCCTGTGATGGATAAGGATCCGATGCCACGTGCAGTGCAAGTTGCTGTGGAGAAAGATCTACCGGAACTCAGCCCGACCACGCCAGCAAGTCCCTGCACAGCATCGCCCCAGAGCATCCCGAAGCCCTTGCCGCCGAATGAACTGTCTTCAAAATCGCTGTCCTTTGAGTCCCCCGAAAAGTCCACCGAGTCCCCCGCGAGTTCGCATGCAGCAGACATCGCATCAAGCACGGCACCAGGAGGCCTGCATGATTGTAGAGATCGGCACATGTGTGCTTGTGGTTAGATGTCGCGACAAACCCATTTCATTTCCCTGCAAAGGCCATGGTTCGGCTACGGATCTTCAAGATACAGCCCCGGCAACCGAATCGCAGCTTGATGTACCTTGGGCTCATATATAGGTTGAGTTACACTTAAGAAGCCATTCAGCTTCATCACGACATTGCTTCAGGATGTCCTGGCCTACGAGAAGCTGAATGGTGAGAGGATGGAGGCAGACCTCGGGATGCAGTTGCTTGTACTGTAGCCCTGTCTGCATAAACCGAAGCCCCCAGACCTTGATAGCCCCCGAACCCTGACAAATGAACCTTCACAGGTTTCATCTTCTGATGGCGATGATGGATCGGATTATCCGCCTCACGGCTACGTACATAGGATACTTAAGGGCAGGGCCTACCAGGGTTGCAACTTTCCATTGTGTATGGATTGCATGGGGTTCGAGGTCATCTTCGGCCCAACCTCGCGAGTGCGACTGGGAAGCCTCAAATCTGAAAATAGTTTAAGGTTCCAGTTTGATGCATCCATTCACAATTCTTAGGAGAAGTATGCGAAGCGAAGGGCAAAGCACCTCTGGCAAGAGAACACTCGTGCAGCAGCTCTGAAAGCTGTGCTGAAGGTGAAGCTGAAGCAACAGCTTCGTGCAAGAATGAAGGTTCATCAGCAGGGCTCACTGTCGAAATCTTACGAGATATCAGATGATGAATGTGAATGTGTTGATGCAAAGCCGTCTGTAGACTCTCCGGTGGCAACCTCGCCACCAGCACTGCCGTCGCCCTCATCTTCCAAGCCTCAGGTCGACATGAACAGTAGCTCTTCCCAGCTGCTGCTTACCCGCACTGCCCAGCTTCAGTTGGCCCACTCCAAGAAGATGCCAGGTCGTGGCAAACGGGTTCGACGAGAGTGCTTGAGTAAGTGCTCTTTGGCTATTGCACGGCAGCGATCGAAGAACAAGCTGGAGCCCAAGAAACGAAAAGCTGAACCCCCCAAAGAAGCAACGAACAAGAAGCCCAAAGGCAAGGGTAAAGCCAAGGCCTCTCCCAAGGCCTCTTCCAAGGCCTTTCCCAAGGCTACTCCCAAAGCAAAGGCCAGATCGAAGGCAGCAGCCAAGTGTAAGGCAAAGGCCAAGGCGAAGCCGACCCGCAAGATTGGTTTGCCTGGGGATGCAGAGATTCGGAGCTATCACGACCTCACGAGGAAGTTTCGGCAGACTCGTGAAGGCGAATCTTTTGGTGAGGTTGCGAAGGATCAGCGACCCCTGCTGAGGGAGAAGATCCATGTTTCCAAGAAGCTCCTCTGCTTGCTTTAACATGCAGGCTCTCACATAACAACAAAGCTTGACCGATGTACGCAGACATACAAACAAGCACTGCACAGTTTTATATAATCACATGCACATTTGATCACAAAACAAAAAACCGATCCATTTAGAAACAAAGTGACATGCACTTAGGTGTAGAAACAAACTACAAGAACTAGCACGAACAACAGCTCAAGCACACACCACAAAACCCAAGCGAGCACATGATGCATACATGGGTACACACGCATATATATGTCATGCCACACATGCACACATATATACATGCATACATACATGCACACACATATACATGGTAAACATTCGGACACATATGCTGATCGAGAAATTGTCCCGGCACCCAGTAGCAAGAAAAGCGCCAAAGACAGTCGCAGGTCTATGGGAAACCATCAATATAGGAAACCCTTGTGCCAGCACTCGCAGTTTTTCGCATAGACCCCAGCATCGAGCACTGTATAGATCATCACAGTCATCATCCAAAACCCCACCCCCATCGTCACCTCAGCATACTCCTTAAAAGGTTTCCCTCATGTCTGCTCAGGTACTACATTATGCCCTACTGGTCCAAAGGCAAGCTTGGCATCCGAGAGGGAGACTACCTTGGAACCCAGAAGTTTCATTTGGGCTCCCAACGGAGTATGGCATTCAACATTCTTACGGCAAATGCTGTCGTGCCTTAGCTGTAGCCTGTTTATGGACAGTGCTCAACACGTGTAGGTTTGCTCCGCCGTCTCCAGATCAACAATGTTCTCTTACTACCCTGAAGAGGTAAAGTTCTTGGAAGCGAACCCGAAGATGACACTGTACTCGGACGCCGTCGCCGAGATCCGTGACCGCCTGGCTGATGCTTGGGATTGTCTTTAGCTTGTGGCCGAGGCTTGCATCTCCTGTGAAGTTTGTGGTGTCGTCGCAGCTAATTAGCCTGTTTCAATTTGGCTTTGGATGGTTTTCCTCCTGATCAGCTCCCCCTGGCTTGCTACAACAGAAGGTACAATTAGCATGCCATCGGTGTTGCAGCCGGTGTTCCAATAACCTTACTTGGCCCTTCTGCTGAATGCAAGACAGCATGTGTGCATGCATGTGTGGTTTGATCCACAAACATATCCTTTGAAACAATTGTTTAAGCTTGAAAAGCTTAGAAGCCTGCATTCGCTGCATCCGCTCAGTGCTGGAATCACGCCTCTATCGTGACATGTCCGCTCGAGATGGAAATCGAAAAGCCACGACTGTTGCAGCATCCTTCTTTGAGAAGCTGTTGACTGCTAGTCGAGGTCATGTCTTATCAAACTGAAGCCATGAGGTCGGGCGATGCCTCGAGGCTCTTCGACGATCAAGTGGGCTTTGCTAGGCCCGGTACCAGGGCTTTGCTGCAAGCTATTACGTCCCATGCACCTTGCACCCCTAAACCCTAAACCCTTAAAACCCCTAAAAATATATAGTCTCCATTGTAGTTCCTTTTTCGGGTTACCTTTTAGGATTCTTAATATAGATTTGGTTAAACCCAAAAAAGGAACTACAATGGAGACTATATATAGAGTGGACGAGTGATTCGTATGCTCCCATTTGCACTGCTCTTCATGACGGGAACATGTTCAGACGCATCTCTTGCCTCCATCGCCACATGCAGTGTCGAACAGCTGAAGCCTCCAGGGGAGTATATAGGTCATTGCATGGAGTTGAAGCGAATCTTCAAAGCAGGATGGGTTGATTTGTAGCGACCATAACAGCAATCGACCGAACAGACTTGGAGGTTTAGGGTTTAAGCCCTAAACCCTAAACCCTAAACCCCTAAACCCTAAAACCTACCTATAGTCTCCATTGTAGTTCCTTTTGGAGCTTAGCTTTTAGGCTTCTTAATATAGAATTGGTTAAACCAAAAAAGGAACTACAACGGAGACTAGAGGNNTATATATATATATAGATTCTACATAGCTTCAGAGCCGATGGAGGCGGCTCAGGCTCTCACAGGCCACTTGCCACTCGAGCCCGCACTGGAGCCCGAACTCGACCTGCATCGTAAGCCAAAGAAGATCAAACCAAACCCATCTAAACCGTTTACAGTGTCTATAGTCTTTCTTTAATGGGGTAGCCCCGTCGGAAACACAACGATCCTGTAAGTGTATTTGCAGCACTTACCACCGACTCTGCCACGCGGGAGCCAAAAACCAAGTTTTTTTAATCTCAAGCCTAAACCCTATAGACCCTAAACCCTAAACCCCCTAAACCCCAAAACCCTAAACCCCCCTTATCAAGCCTAAACCTCTAAACCCCATCAACCCTAAACCCTGAACCCTAAAACCCCAAACCCTAA